ATTTATTGCCATGTTATTAAATTATAATACAAAACCAATGAAAAATAATATTGTTATCAGTAAAATTGTTATGAGTTAGAAATATTTACCGAAATTTAAAATATGTATAAATTACTAAGAAAACAATGTTGACATATCATAATGTATGCTATTGATTTTTAGTTTGATAAGTTTTAATTCCGCATTATTCAATCTTAGAAAATACAAATTTAAAACAAACTATAGGTATAGGTATGTCACAATTTTATATTGAGATCAAAAAACGTTAGGTTTTAGAAATTAGAAAAATATTTCTCGTTAACATTATCAAATAAATAGTCAGGGAGCTCGAGTATTTTTTTTTTTTTTAATAAATTAGAAAAACAATAACGTCCAAAGATGCTCATGCCGTAGAAATCTCACTATTTTTTAGTTAGCATATTTTCTTTTCATTATTGAGGTAACAACAACTGAGAAATTTGACGAAATATATTGTCACACAAAAAAGTATCATGTAACATAATCATTTTAAGTCAAACGAAATATTCACTTGAAATCTAGAAATAAATAATACGACGAATTCTAAGCGAAATTTCTCGAAACAGCCATAGTATAATAACTAATTCGGTGACTGCGTGTCAAAAAGTATTCAAAATACAGTAACCAAACAATCAACCGTCGGAAAATGCAAGAGGATATGTCGTCGGGGGGGGGGGGGTAGTTGTGGTGGTGGTTGTGGTGGTGATGATGGTGGTGGTTAAGTCGACCGTAAATACGATGTCGATATTACGGTGTTATATAACTTATATAAGAACGAATTTCTACGGCGTGGAAAATGTCACGTTGATAATAACATTATAACACGTTATGACATTGTTTAACATTGCGAACACCTAATAATAAACTAAAAAAAGGTGGGTGGGTGCCTCGGGATCGTGCGTTTTAGTTTTACCCAACAGAGCACACATATTCGACCGAGAATAATTACGTTATTATATAATTATTGTTGTTGTTGTTGTTCGTATTATAGGTAATAGAATACGTACTATTGCGCCACGTTAAGACTTTTACCCCTATAATGTAACTCGTTGCTGAATAGCATCGTAAAATCCTATTAAATTTGTATTTTGCTCCATCGCACTCGTAGGTACCTACAACAGTATTCCCTGTCTCCAACGTTAATGCAAATACGAATATTATTGTATAATGTGAAGTGTAATTTTTCGGTCCCGAGGTTTTATACTTTTACTCGGTTTTTTTTTGGATTTCTCGATTTGCAATTTTTTTTTTTATTAACACTCGGTCATATTAAACTTGCGCCAATTTTGGGGACCATGTACTGTCGATTTGTTAGTTAACACTAACAGAAGACGCTAATTTTCTAATTTAGTTTCATCACCTAGTATAATATGAAATTATCTTCGAGTATTACAGCTAAGCAATTTTTCTTCATCTTTCTTATCGATAGGTACATTATCTTCTCCTTACATACAATCTAGTTCGTTGTTAATCCATTTCGTTCAAGTTAATTGCTCTGCCAATCGATTGCTTTTTAATTAAGTTAGTAATATGTTGTGCAAAGTTGAAGTGTCGACCAAAATGAGTTTGAAAAGGATGAAATGTAAAGTAAAAACGGTATAAACACAAAAATGTAAAATTTTCTATTTAAATTTATTTAGGTACCTAATAATGTGAAATAACCTCTATGTACATAATGTATAGGTAAGGTTATATTTATTATATTATATTTATTTTTTGCATTCAATAAATCCAAAAAAACACCAAGTTTTTAAAAATGTTTGTCTTAAATAATTTTAAATAGTTACAAAACAATGATCTTTATACTATTTTTATGACAACATATATTTATAATTTCATAATTCGATACCTATTCCATATTTATTCGGAATATTTCTATATAAATATTAAATTTTGTTCAAGGAGTTTATTAGTTATACGAATTTAAAGTTTTGATGCTTGGAGAGTACACCAACATATTGTTACCTCTATACCACTCCTCTCCGCTCATCTATACTTAAAAATGTAATACCTACTTACAACTCAAACACTACTCGTCCAAAATGCGATTTTTATATATTGAAGTTTTAGAACGGATACTTCAAACGGGAAACTTTTATTTATTTATTTTTTGTTTTATGTGATATTATTAATTTATAGAACATATTGATAGATATTTTTAGTTTGTATAAAATTAGGAAATTATATAGGTACTATATTACTTTTATTAGGCATTTCAATTTTGCCCCTGGGGGCATGGTAAGAGCCTGCACGTGACACACCCTGCATAGTTGTCTTTTTCAACCAGATAAGAGCAACTAACCAATCTTACCAACACCAGTGCGAGAATGATTGGACACGACTAGAAGAAGAATTTGGCCCTAATGATAAAAATATACAATAATTCGTTTGTATTTACTTTAGATCACTCTAAGATTTTTCTTTTTAAACACAACATAAGCGAAATAAAATATATAAATTATTATTAATGATTAATAAATACTAATCATTTCAAATAACATGAATTAAATGTTGGAAATGCATTTCAATGGTAAAATAATATTATGTTGACACGGCGTTATGGATAGGCATTTCATGGCCATGGCTGTCGTGGTATATACTTTCGGTATAGTATTATATAAGTGTGGTTTACATACAGGTTAGTACTATGAATGTGAAAAAATTTAAGTATGATAAAATTGGTTTGAACTTTACAATGATCAATAGAATAATGTTCCCATAATGAATATCACATTTTCAAATTATCTTAAAATGAAATAATCATCTTTGGTTCTATTTTTAGTGAAAAAATATTGAAATTTGAATTACAGTTTGTTCATAAATAATTATTCATAAAAAGATATATTCATTTAGCGCTTAATTATTTATTGTAATGGATATTATATTTTTCAGAAAAAGTTACCTAACAAGATAAATTCACGAATCTGTTTATTCCTTTGACTTCTCACATTATTAAATCAGTTCATGAAACGGGCAAACTTTAATAAACTGTTTTAATAATTATAAACTTAAACATAATTAACTGATAAAATATAGGTAGTACAGTTTTTTTAGTATTATATTGTATTAATTAATCAATTAATATTGGTACAAATTATGCATTTCACATATTATAAAATGTTGATGAAAAAAATATATCAAGTTATTTAACATTTATGATAATTATTTATTACTTTTAATTGACACTTATAGAAGTCCACAAAAGCAAAACATTTTTTTAATTAAAATAACAAGAAACTTAAATTTTACAAAAATATTACTAAAACGTAAACTGCACTTAGCACTTACAACAGACGTATGACACTTAATTGCCTATTAATATGCCTATTGGTTAATATTTGATTGTGTATTTTTATTAATTATTATGATAAACATTAGAACTGTGTTGGATTAAAATAATAATTTATATTTATACAATGACATATTTTATAAGATAAAAATTGACGTGGCCTGTGACAGGCGTGGATGAAAAAAAGTTCCGTCAGATGCAATGCGCTTAGGTTGTTATCTAACAACTTTGTTGATGACATTTCAAGCTGTGTATTATAGTCATATTAAAATAAAATAATAAAATTAAACTTATACAAAACCAATATAATATTATATCCCTCCTGTAAAAATCTCTACGGCATCGACTCACCACCTTCCACCACCCACAACAATTATATGTTAATGAGCACAACATCATATAGTTATGATTAACTTATAAAATATATTGCGTTTATTACGTTCAGTGTAACTAAAATTAACAATTCCTCAGCTCATGTAATGAACAGAATTCACGTAAGTATCAAATTCATGGAATGAGCAAATAATTTCATTCAATATTATCCCTGTAGTACTGAACAACGTACACAATATTATAATATTTTACAGTAATAACTAATAAGGCGTGAACCACAGGTTCTAAAATACTAAGGAGCCTTAATGAAAACAATAATTGTAATTAACTTCAGTTAGTAAAAAATAAAAGACAATGGTAAGAAAGTTAGGTAATTTAATAATGAACAAACAATACATTTAAATTAAAAAGTTCTGAGTTAATGTGGAGAAAATTTTTAACTTAACTCTATTTAAAAATTAATTCGTTTTGTAATTACTACCTAGGTGACATACTGGGATACAGCAGTATTGCTATTTAACTTTTACATTTTTTAATAAATAAGTATAAATATTCTAATATTCTCTCATGTTCCACACTGTCAGTGTTGGTTTAGGCAAAAATTGTATTTCATACTTTTAAATACAAAATTATAGTACTTTTATAATAACATTGTGTCTGTATTATTATACTAGCTGATCCTGTATGATGGCATTTCCCTAGACAAATAAGATAGTGCCAGTGGATTTACCCTGTCTTAAACTTCATTAAATGTAAACTATATACAGTAATTCAGGTGGTTTAGACGAAATATAATATACAGATCTAAAATTATATCCAATCATAAGAACTATTTTTTTTTATGTAACCAATGGCAATCCTAAACTTAAAAAAAATATACATTTATCGTGAGTTAAAATATCCCCTTGTGAGTCCCTCTTAAAATTCAAAATTTAAAAATTGAACTTTTAGGCTCACATCCTCAGGTATGGAATTACTAATGTACCAAATTTCAGAGCCACTAGTGTGATATACTTGGCTGCGGATCGCTTTCACATACAAACATCGCCTTTTTTAATATAACTAAATAAACACGAATTTAACTAATTAGTTGGGTATTAAATTAATTTAAAATCAATTGGAAATATAAATTTGATAGTCATGGTATTAGGCATGTAGTTGATCAGTGAATAAAATAATAAACTCACTCGTTACTATGGGTTTTAATTTGGCGTTAACTTTTTGACTGGTTAATATCCCTCCCCCCTTTTCTTATATACTATAATAATGTAGTCGGATATGTACTTGACGTGCTTACGATAAGACATGTTATGCTACGTCCCTTTTAGAACCGAACCCAACCCAATTAACTGACCTGACCTTACCCTTGCAGGAACCTGAGAAACGTGACGGCCACCCAACTCTCGTACTGGACGAACGCGACCGGCACCAGTGCCATCGTGGTGGCCGTGATGGCCATGCACCACATCATTATGGAGCGCTCGTAACCGTGACTAGAGTACATGCCGCCCGGGAGAGTGGACACCAGTGTGCCGAAAAAGTAAGCGCCCATCGTGGCCGCCTGTTGCAGGATAGTCCAGTCCAGCCGCCTGGCCACCACGACCGTGGAGTTCCGGCCCACGTTCAGCACGGCGCCCGGGCACGGCTGTAGGTCGGCCGGACGCGCCGCCAGCGGTACGTTCATCATCACCATCATCGAGTACGTGAAATGTACCCGGACGGTCAGCAGGAACGAGTACGCCAAGAACATCATCGCCAGCCAACCGTTGGTCGAGCACCTCCTCCTCCGACGCTGCTGGAACGTGCACGACCCGACCACGTTGATGTTGTTGATGTCGTTTTCGTTGTCGTTGTTGTTGCTGTTTGATTGGTTTAACGTCATCTTCGGCATCGACATATTGTAATATAAATTATAATACAACTGTTATTATTACCACAGCGAACCGGTTGTCAGGTGTGAGGTGGGTCGTCGTTGTCGTACAATATCAAATGCTAAATAAATCAATAGAATATCAACTACAAAATCGCTACAAAGTAATTGAAAGTATAACATAATATAGTTATTTATTTTGTATGGATGTGCTGATCAACGGGACATCCTTAGACCCAATTATTGAGCCGGGAGCGGGCTATAGTATGCATATAATATATATATTTATTTTTATGAATTTGTCTTTATACAGAGTGTTTCGTAAAAATGTACAGCAATTATTTAGAGATAGTACTAGATAGCTATTTAAGAAGTTTTTTTTTCACAAAAATATATATTATTAATGTCTTGTATATTATATACTCCGATTCAAGTGTGAAATTCCCTGCGTTTTGAGTACTAAAATACGTTAATCGAAATTGAGACGCACCACGATTAACAAAATATACCAACTTTCATTCACCCTTAAAAATCTCAGATCGAAAGAATGACGGAAACAACAAAAACAAAATCAGGCACTGCCACCTAAACAGAAAAAAAATACCACTCATTTCCATTCCGATGAGTCATCCTCTATATTTATTTATTTAACTTTAACAATGCATTTTACATTAAATAATACATTAATAAGTTGATACCTACACTATACAAATCAATAGCTTGCGGCGAGGGTAGGGAGCCTATTACAATGATAAATTAAATATTAATACATTATACACATCATTTTACAGTTAATGTATATAGGAAATTATAGGTATATATTTATTTAAAGTACCTATGTTTTAAGAAGACGTCGTTTTCACATGCGTTTTTGTCTCTGACGGAGGGGGCTAATACTTAAGATATAAAAGAATGTGTTTTTTGCATACTATATAGTTAGTTAGGCGGTGACAATAAACGTGAGTAATACGTCCTTAAGAAGTTATGCATAAACAAGTTTAACCACATATTATTAAGGTAATAAAATATAATACTATGCATTTATTAAAACGTAGGTAACCATTTAAATTATTATAAAGGTAATAGTATGCATAATTTAATTCACTTATATAATACAATTGTATTAATTAAAAGCAAACTATAAATAACCAAGACCATTTCTAAAAGCTACAGTATACAAGCTATGGGGGAGGAGGGACGATATTTATATTAACTATATCACATTATCATCATACTTTTAATATTTGTGTTTTCGGAATCCTTAAAAACTGAATAATAATTAACACGTTTTCAAACATTACTATACGATACTCAATTTGTTTTAATTGTATTTAATTCTGTATTGCAATCATAGTTATAATTTATAATTTACTATAATAAATTAATTACTGAACAATGAACTCTAATATTGTGGTTTAGTCATTAGTTAAGAAGTACTTTTATTATTAGTAATTTTAATCAAAAAGGTCAGCAATTAGGTAGGTGCACTAACCACTTAATGTTTGAATATTTTCTTTTAAAAAATAAAAGTTTACGCAATGTTCAACAATTATTTACTAATTTACTTGTAAGTACATCGTATATACAATACACATACTTTATTAATAAGTTAAAAAATGAATTTTATAAACTCGTGGTTGGTAAAGTTATTATTATATAACTGCTGACAGGGGTGGACTGGAGTAAAAAATCGGCCCTGGCGATCATAGGTAATGGCCCAAAAATTACAAAAATATTCATTTTTTAATGGCAATAGCTTAGACAGAAGGGATTAGTACCAAGCTACAGTTTTATAGATTGCACAAAGTAGGTACCTACTGACAAAATAACAAGGCTGGGCAAGTTAATGATTTTTTTTAACTCAGTTAAGTTAAGTTAAATATTTTTTGTTGAATTAAATTAGAAGTTAGGTTAATATTAATTTGTAATACATTAATTAAGTTTAAAGTTAAGTTAACAAATTGTGTTAACTTAACTTCAATTAATAAGTTAAGTTAATAAAAAAAAAAAATTATTACGAAAATATCTTCTTTTTTTTTCAACAATATTTTCTAATATTCTACGAATTTTAAATCGACGAACCGTTATAGACTAAAATATATTCTAGATAAAAACGAAAATTCAAAATTAACTTAATTGGTAATATTAAAAAAGTAGAAGTTGATTTTAAGTTAACGTAGTTATAAATGAGTTAAGTTAAGTTAAGTTAATTAAAACAACGAACTAGTAAGTTAAGTTAATAAGTTAAAATTAACTTAACTTTTAACTTATTAACTCGTTAATGCCCAGCCTTGCAAAATAATAACGGTCCACTGGCCCAATAAACCTGTGAGGGCCCTCAATCATAACAGCCCAGGGGGGCGATCACCCACTTTCCCTTCGGCCCAGTTCACCCCTGACTGACTGTGGTGTTAAATATATTATGGCAGATGCAAGTATAAAATAATCGATACAAAAATAGTACCCCCGACCCCATTGGTATCACCTAAGTACTGCAGTCTAATATTTTGTATAGGGTCGTGAGTTTTAATATTTTTACAATAAATTGATATTAATAAAAATACTTTTAAAACTAAATCCACCGATGTTATAGTTTTTATATGTTTGTTGCCTTTTTTTTCGACATTTTATTGTTCCTGGACGGTTTAAGTGTCAGCTAAAAAAGTACCACTCATAACGTGGACCAAACCGTCTATATTGTATTATACATTTTGATTTTCCAAACACCTATTTTTTACTTCCTTTCAAATAAACGGTAGGTACCTACAGTTTTCTTTTAAATCAATATCTGCCTCTTTTTACGAATTTCTACACCTGGGAAATATTGTTGATTTTTTTTTTTAAGTCACGCTGAGAGTTGACATCGTTATAATGATGCAATTTTTTTTATTATACTACAGTTTATTTGAAATTTATATTTCATATAAAACTACAACATTGTTCTCAGTTATAGCTTATAGGTTATTGGTATTTATTATTTATAAATAAAATAAAATAAATATTAAATATGTATATACATTTTATGTGTTCAGAAATGTAGAATATGCTAAAAACGTACTTACTGTCGATCAAGCTTATTATATAATAATATTATACATGATAACACTGCTGTTAAAATTAATTAGCATTTGTATAATTAGGTAAGTATATATGCATATTTATTTCGTCTATCTATTCTACTCATGACTAAAATATTATTATACATAATTTAATTTTCAAAGTAGGTACCTACCAAATTATAGTAATGTTTACTTTATATGAGCATCTACATTAATACATTCAAGGTACCTATTTATTATATATTACACAAAATTTTTTTTAGCTCAGAAACATTGATAGGATAAAAAGGATAAAAAATAATAAGGATACCTAAAAAACTATATTGGTATAAATAGTTTAATTTTCTACTTATTAAATTAATTTTGTTACTATCTAGTGTAAAAGTTTTATAACTACATTTTCATTCAAAAATATTTTAAATTAAAACAAATGAAGGAGAAGCCAACTTAAACGTTTTAGTACTTATCTTCCATAGTGCAATTTTTTAGATTTAACATTGAATAAGTTTTTACGTATTTCATACTCGCATAGTCACATACGATAGTCATGTATTTATTAATAAAAAACTTTCAAATTTTAAAACTTTGACAATATATTTCTATTTTGTTGTAGTAAATAGTTCTAAAACAATAATTTATGAAATATTATTAAAAAAACAACGTTTCTTGTTGCATATACAACTTTAATAACATCTTAAGCTTACGAGGAACACTAAATTTACCAGACAATTTATTACTTAGTATTCTAGTAAATGTAATTAACTCAAATTAGTGTATATAATTAAATTGTTATCTGTTGTTTACAAATTTAATTCAGCTCAAAAATCAAATAGTTTCAGATTAAAAATTAGCTAAGTTCAAAATTTGACCATATTTTGTCTATTAAATTTTATGAATAATAATTAAGCATTATTTGTATCCGTCTTACACATGTATGACATTTCAAAAATTTGTTCATTAGTTTCAAAAGTGCGCTGTTAATTTTGATATTAATGTAAATTTACCTGATTTAAAACTTTAAGTAAGAACATTATTTGTGAGAGTTATAAGCAATTTTACTTTGTGATACTTCACATACCCATAGTATATTGCTTAAAAATTGAAATATCGAAAAAATCAAAAAATAACACCCATGAACATATCAATATGAAAATTATGCCAAATTCCGGGACCAAGCTCACAAATTCTCTCAAATCAAAACCAATCTTTTGACACCAATCTCGACGAAATCGGGTGAAGTGGGTGGGTTACATGAAGTTGGCTCACTCTCCAGTAGATTGTGTAAAAGATACTAGAAAATTTTAGGAGTATTCTCGCAAATTCTCACAAATGAGTATCAGCCCAAATTACTCACAAAATATTGGTATCATTTATATATCTAAAAAAATCACCGATGCTTAAGACAGAAAATATTCTTACCTAAAAAATTGATGAGATGTCAATTAACACTAACATCAATACTAACAGCACACTATTGAAACTAGTGAACGAACATTTGCTATGCAATACCGTTTGTGATACAGATACAATAAATTCATGGGTATATCTTAATGCGATAGTATAATAGTTAGATTTTAAAGTTATAATTTCAACAATATACTTCAAAAATATGTCTTGGTTCTTACAGCTTTTCACTGTCTGTGTATATATATATTATATATGTAGTATATGTACTGATTTTCAGATTTATGAACTATTTTTATTTTAAAGAGAGTATAGACTAGGTAATTACATTTTAGATTCTGAGCGGAGCGAGGAAGTTAGTGGTTATACAATGATATATTTTTTTTTTTTATCCTGTAAACAACATTTCTACCAGAAGGAGTGCTTCAATTTCAACATATAGTATCTCATTTTTTAGAAAAATTGGATTAAGATGGTACTTTAGAGAGGTAGAGAAGTACAAGCATGCATCAAATTGTCGTGCTTATGGTCTTGAATAAAGAAACTATATCTTAAAATCAAATG